GGAGAGGGGCAGACACCCGCTTCCTCTGGGTTTTATCTCATCTCAGTTGGTCTCAAGGAATGATCCCAAAGAGATGTGATGCTTGGGAGGATGAGGTAGTGGGTGTGGCTGGAGAGCAGAGCCGGATATGGGGAGGTGACATGGGAGCATGTGACAATCATGGCCTGGATAATATAGTTTGTATATGGCCCAACTTCCCCAAACTCACCCAACGCTGTCTGGTCTCACGCCTTGAATCCAGAACTTCCTGTCCTGGTTGCAGAAGCATTAGAGACACGTGTGAAAGCAGCAGCAGGATTCATGGAAGGATCTCAGCACTTAGGACAAGTCTCATCTCCCCTCTGCCTGGAAGGCACCCCAGCAAGGTCAGAGGGGGATTTCTGTCCAGCCCACTGTCCTTCCAGTGGGATGTTCACAGTTACTGATGCAGATGATAGGGACACGCTGCCATCTAGTGGCTAGCATTAGAGGGAGGTGAGACTGCAGAGGGAAGTGGTGTTTCTAGTTAGCTATTTAAACCCGGCAAGCTTTGCAGTGTATATAATTAGCACACAGTAACTACAAGGCCAGAGCAGATGGCCTGAGTGATAAGAACCTGGAGATACATGGCTCAAGACCTTAGGAGCAGTAGGGTCAAGGCAGATGGTGAGAGACCAGGGCCAGGGAAGTTGGCCGTCGTAATGGCAGGTCTGGATCACACACAGCCTGGAACGTGTCAGTGCGGGGACAAGCTCAGGAAATCAGCATGGAACACGCCAGCGCCAGGCTGACCCCATTGCGCTTCCGCCCCAACCCCTCCCTTTTCCAGGACCCCCCAGCACAGGGGGGCCCCCTCGCCCCTAGCACAGGTGCCACCCTGTGACTCTCCATCATCCCTCACCCCCAGCACTAGTGTCCCCTCCTCACACCAGATTTCACCTGTATAAAAAATGTTAACGGGGGGCCCATACAGGTTGATTCCTCCCAGGCCCCCACCCCCCTAGGGACGGCCCTGCTCAGACCCAAATACTTCAAACTGACACCTCCTTTTGTGTGTGGGGGGTCTGATTTGTTAGCTCTTTTACAGGGGGTACTCACCTCTTCTTTAGCCCCTCAAGTCCAAGCCCATCCACTGTCTGTGTGAGGGGTCAACTGGGCTTCCTCTCCCTCCTTTTCCCACTCAGCCATTTCATCCCTGGGGAGAGTCACAGGCAAACAGCCACCTCCTGCTGGCTTCTCTAGATGCCGTCTCTCTCCAGGAGCTCTGTCCTCCAGCAGTGCACTGGTAGCCTTTATCAGGTCATAGGCTCGTTAGTCAATTAGCTGCCAATCAGCCACCTAGGGAGTTAATTACTTACTGGTGAGCCAAGATGGGCCCTGACTCCTTTAAACGGGCCAGCCACCTGGGACAAGGTGCTCCTCCCTCATGTGAGGCATATCATCTTCACACCCTGAGCACCCCCTTCCACTTCCTCCCGCTGGTGGCCCTGTTCTTCTCCCCATGGGACGTCCCCATTTCAGGTAGCTAAGCCCTGCTCGACCCAGCCAGGCCTGAGCCAGTGCACACAGTGGTTCACGGAAGTGCATGAGTGTCAGTATCCATGGCAACCGCCCCACAGCCCCTGGATGCAGGAGCTGCCGATGCAGGCACCTGTCAGAGCCGGGGGGTGTCTAGCGCTCAGCGGGCTCTCCTGGCTGGACTACATTCAGTACAGGCAGCAGTGCAGAGTGAGATCCCAGGAGCTTCACCTGAATCCCCGCAGCCCCCGGGTGCCTCTGGGGCAAACACACCCTGGGCCGTCTCACACATCTCGAGGGCCGAGGCCTTCCCTCTCCCCTACACAAGAGGCCAGGCTCCAGGAGCTCCCCTCAGGACCAGAGCACCACCCCCTCCGGCTTCCCCACATGCCTCCCACCTTTAGTGCTACCCCCAGAAGAGATCTGATCGGCTAAGGAGGAAGAAGGCCTCAGTTCTCCATCAAATCATCAGTCTCTGGCCAGTCCCAAAGCTGCAGGAGCTGCGGCCCTGCTGGCCTTAGTCCGCTACATGCCTGGCCCTCCTCCCAGGGTGTCTGCTGGTTCCTTGCTTCCCTCCCGCCATGGTGGGGCACCTTGACAGAGATGTCTTTCTTTTCTCCCTCCTCCCACCCCACCCTGGTATCTCTCTGGGGGTGGGGGTTGAGGAGAGAATGTGCTCCCATTGCTGTGATCTGGTAGGGGCTAGGGGATACAGCTGCCTCTTCCCCTTCCCTGCACACCCTAACTTTACCCAATGCCTCTGACATGAGACCAGCGGCCTCTAGCCTTCACAGCTGAAAACTGCAACCAAAGCTATTTGCCGCTCAGATCTAGCCGCTTGGGGCAGCAAAGCAAAAAAACTCATGACTTTCCTGTCCTACATGGGACAGTTGGTAAGTATGAGAGGGAGGCCAGCTCGCCTGCTACTGAAATGCAGCTGCCTCTGGGGTGGGATACAGCAGCTGTTTGTAGTGCACCGAGCAACAATTTAGGGAAGAAGGTGAAAGAAAATCTTATAACCAAGTCAAATGGCAAAACAGAGAGAATGTATCTGCATGAAGCGGTGTGGCCTGTTCCAGTATGTAGCACATCTCTCTATCTATCGGTGCCAATTCCTCACAGAGCAGAAAATCCGCATGCATCCATTCATCCCAGGTGCATTTGGCCAGGATCCCTCTGGCTAGACAATACCAGAGTATCGCCTTCTGCCTCAGTTAAGCAGAGGTCACATAGAGGGGAATTCCTTCCTACCTGGAACTATTCCAACCCTCCCCAGGGAACTGTCCTCGCACGCCCCTGCCCTACGCTGCATCTTCCACAGTCATTCAGTACAATCTGGTGCACGTTAAACTGGTTTGTCTGGTGTTTTGCTTACAGGAGAAGGCCACCAGCTGCTATCTGCCTGAAAGCCCGGGACAAAGATGCATCCCTCTATAAATGCCTCTAAGGCCTCCGGACAAAAGGTCAAATGCGAAACCATCACATGCAAGTGACATGCTGCAAGGTATATTTTACACCAGGAGCCACTAGGGGGCACTGCAACCCTCAGTAAACAAAACAGGCGGACAAGAGCATTGATAAATATGTGCGGCTGTTACGCATGTGTGATGAAATGCATAAAAGCCTGTGCTTTGACAATGCCTGGGATGCTGCCTTGTAGCTGTTTATGACTCTCATGATATTTCATCTGCATGGGAAGGCACAATGGGCCCCATTCCCGCTTGCCCTGCCCCTTGTGCAGTCCCGTACACCGGTGCACAGAAGGCGTGAAATGCTACCACTCTGAATTGCTAGCATTTTCCATTCACTTGGCCCTCGCTTTGCCAGTTGTAAGCAGGGAGGGAAGTCAGGAGGCCTCTGTTATGGTAGCAGGCAGCAAGGAGGGGTGAGTCTGAGCAGTTGTCACATTTTGGAGCACTATAGGGGAACATCTAGAGTGTGTAACTGCAGCAGGTTCTGGCTATGCCACTGGCTCGCTCAGTGACCTTGGGCAAGTCATTTTGCCTCACCGTGCCTCAGTTTCCCCATCTGTAAAATGGGGATAAGGACACTTACCTCCCTCACTGGGGATTGTGAGACGTAATGCTTTAATATGGAAAGTGCTTTGAAATTCCGGTATGGAGAGCTCTGTGTAAGCACTAAACATAAAGAAATATTATTGGATATTATTATTATTCCCCAGACAAAGGAGGAGCTGCTGGCTGCCACCCTAGACACTTCTCAGGCCCTCTGCCCTTCCCTCAAAAGACAAGCTGCACTGCATTGACCAACCACACCAGGGAAAGGTGGGAGGGGAAGTCAGGCAAACGGTCTAGCACTCCCCTTTTGATACTTGACACCCAGCCTGTATCTGGAATTCCAGCCACTATCCCAGTGTCCACGCCCTGTGCTGGACTTCCGGGGGCTGGAGGCTGAGGCTATGACGGAGGGGGGTGAGGGCAGGAGGCTGAGTGCTGGGGGCCGTACACCTTTGTGATGAATCAGGCAACAGAGACGTGTTCAGAAGCATTAGAGACCATGAAGCCTAGTAGAGTGAGGCTACGGGCATGGAGCGGGGTGATTCGTTTCCATCCCGTGCATCCCCTTTTGGATACCCCATACTTCCTTCCTTTCCTGTCGTGCTTCCAGGTTTCTGGCCGAGCAGCATGGGATGTGAATTCTTCTGGAGTCCATGGGCAACGTGTAATCAGGTAGACAATGCCTAGAGGTGGTGCAGAAGGAGGGACTGATACAGGCTTATGGGGGTTGCGGGGGGATGGGGCTGATGCAGACCCATAGGAGACCAAAGGCATGTTAGCTGCTCCATGGCGTCACAGGGCACCTCTGCACGATAGCTGGGACATACACACACTAGCTCTGATCGCCCTAAAACAGCAGCACGGTGGTAGAGTGCAGACAGCAGCTCAGTCTAGCCACCCGCGTACAGCCCCATCTGAGAGCCTAGGTACATACTCAGGCAACCAGCCAGAGCTGCTGTCCATGTGGCTGTGGCCACAGCGCTGTATTTAGCACGTAGCTTGATCAGAGCTAGCCCGTGTCCGTCTACCCGAGCTGGGAATTGATCCTCCAGCTGCAGTGTACATGTACCTTATGTGAAGTGACTGTGGTGGACTCAGTTCACTTCCTAGGGGACACATCCCCAAAGCCATCCCACCAGTAGCCCGCCCTGGCCCCCATTTCGGTAGTCTCTGCCCAGGCTGAGCACTGATTTGAAATGGAGGTCAGCTTGTCCTCCCCCCTGGAGGTCAGCCCCTCCAAGGCAGGGCTGAGCGGAGTAGACGCGTGCAACAAAGTGCTATTGTTCACGTTGCTGCTCCGCTTACCCCATGGATGAAGAGAGGCGACCCCAGGGCTGTCCGTCTGTCCCTTGCACCACTCCCGTTGGAGAGGAAACCGAGAGAGGGGAATTAATGAAGGAGGGACAAGTGTGTCTGAGGAAAGGCCAAGGTCGCTCACGCAGTCCTCCTCATCCTCGCCATCCCAGAACATAACCACAAGGTGCATTATATTAATACTTTATTAATCAACTGACGGCATCCTAGAACAAAATGGAGGAGAAGGAGTAAGAGACAGGGGGGTAAGGGGGCTGGGCCCAGCTGGAGACAAAGGATGCTAGCAACACTGGCAATTCCAGACATGGCCAACAACAGTGATAGCATCACCACCACTAATGATAAGGCCCAATTGGTGACTTGGCTGCTGCAGTGCATCCTGGGTAATGCTGGGGGTAACTGTCATGAGGAACAAACAGGCCCATTGTGCTTTGCAACCCTGTATTTTGCAAAGTCCTCTCTAACCTCCTTGCAATTTGCCAACCAAGTGGCCTTTATTGGGCATAAGAGGAGGAGAAAGGAGCAGCGCTTAGAGACAGTTGCCTCCCGAGTCTCATCTTTGCAGCCTTCCAAATCTCCGCTTCAGTGACGGAGAGAACAGCCAGGCCAAAAAGGAGCCCAACACTGCTGAGTCTCGGCGGGAACGTCGACGATAGGGAGTGGGAGACTTGGCCAAGAAGAGGCAGATGCCGTAATGCTGAGCTCTCCCTTCCCAGCACTCTAGTTCTCCTGTGCCAAAGCTGGTGCCTGCCGAGACGCTGCTCACTGACCGGCTTCCTCCGTGGGAACCTGGCTGTCACTCGGCTCCTAGGGCTTGATGTTTTAAATATACTTTGGCTTCTGCAGCTTTACAAGAGAGTGATCTCAGCATATCTGTGCAAACAGATCTCCTCGGCGTGTGGGCAGCTCCTCATGGCCACTATTGACAAGGCAGAAGTAGAGCGGCCGTGGGCTTAGCTAAATCTCACCCACGGACTTTCTTAGAGCTAGAAAGGAGATGGAGTGTGACAAGGAGTGTGTCACATACTCCTTGGGGCCTCACCTATAAGACAGAGCAGTCCAGGGGCCTATCTTTTCAGGCTGAGACCCCTCCTTTCTTCCAGTGGTTTTTGTGGGTTGTTTTGTTTCCGCCGAGCTGTCCTCCAGCAGTTTGCACTGGCCTGTCCCATCGCACCTGGAAGCAGAGCACCGAGCAAGGAAACTGAGCCAGCGTGTCTCAGTACAGGGATGGGACCACAGCGCATCTCTGGGAGTGACAGAGGATTTGCTGAGAAGCAGGACAAAGTGGTCACTGGCTCAAAATGGAGAAATGCTTAGAAAATACGATGTAGCTTGCACCAGCTGCTGTCACCGGGAGCCAATATTCCCGTTCCCAGAACCAGTTGCCCCTTTCTCTCATGCCCCTCAGATTTGGGCTCATGGAATTAAGCATGCTCAGAGATGACACATGCAATCATTGTGAAGTCACCACTAGAGCTAACCAACCATTACCAAAAAAGTTACAAAGCTTTAAAAATTTTCCAATAAAGTTTCATTCGTTTCATTGGGTTTTGAAATTAACTCATTTTTTGCTTTTCAAATTTTTCCAGAGCCGTTTTGGTTGGACTTTTTTGTTCTTTCCAAAAAATGAAAATTGTCTAAAATGAGTTTTCTGTTTCAGAATCATTTTCAAAAGCTTTGCATTAGACTGATCGCTCCAACTGGCAATGGAAAAGAAAGGAAAAACATTTGAAACAAAACAAAGAAAATCATCCAAACATGGAAAAATTGAAAAAAAAAATCAAAAATGTTTTCATGGAAATTTCCATTTTTGAAAAAATGGCAAAATTTGGTTAAAAAATTTCAGAGAAAATTTTATGACCAACTCTTGTCACACCACACACCCCCAGTCGCTAATTTGGTTATAACAGTTGCCCACGTCCAACTTCCCATTAAAGCTGTTTTCTCAAATGATCAACAATTATTTGTTTTTGCATAACATCCCCCTTTGCTTTGATTCTGCATCTGATCTTTATATTAGCTCTTTTTCACCGTTTCTCTTGCTCTCTCTGGATTCTTCCCATAGGCCCTGATTCAGCAAAGTGTTTAAAATATATTTAACTTTAACCATGTACTTAAATCCGTCCTTATTCAGCAAAGCATTTACGTATGCGATTATGTGTTTGGCTGGATACGGACACGCTTAAGCGCATGCTTAAAGTTAAGCACCTGCTGAAGTGCTCTGCTAAATGGGGGCCATAAGGGAAATCTCACGTACTTATTCATTAAATGAAGCAAGATGCATAAGGGGATGGAATGCTCCACTCTGTTGCTGTGATGATAGCTATAAGTGGCTTGTTAGAAAACATAGTCTCTCCCTGGGGTGATCAGAGCTGGTAGGCGATTTTAGGTCTGTTATGGTAAGTGGCTCTATGTGGCTGCTTCGGAACTGGTCATAACCCTGCCAATGTACCAGGGAGATGGGCCAAAGCTAGAACTATTGATCTGCACCTCGCTCTACACTGGGTGGGGTGATGGCAGAGCTGAATAAACTGAACTCCAATCTCAGCCACCACTACCGCTGCTGGCTTTGGTTTTGGAAAGCCAGTTCTGATGCCAGTTTCGCCCACCACCGTTTGACACAGAGACGACCCAGAACCGGAACCCATTCCCAGTGTTGGAATACTTCCCTCCCAAATGGAGCAGAGTGCAGCTCAACAGGACCCAGATCTCAACCAGGGGATGAGGAGAGAGAAACGACCAGCCCTATCTGTGAGTTTGATAGGAGACTCTGCACAGTGCTCTAATCCTGCAAACTGTTCCACCTGGCCAGGGCCTGGAGCCCACGCTAAGCCCTACTGAACTCTGGGGGGGAGGGGAGGGTGTTCACACAGAACAACTTGCAGGATCGGGGCCATAGCGCAGTGATGGGTACCGTATAGACAGGTAGATCGATTCATGCCCTGCTTGTGGGTAATGCGAAAGCTCCCATTTTTGCCCATCTCTAGGGTAACATGGCCTCCCATTTCTCTTTCTCTTGTTGTCGAGGTTTTTTTCCCCCTTCTTCTCTATAAAATCACAATCCTCTAAATAATAATAAAAAAATACAAATGTCATTGTAGTCCTCTCCCCTCCCCTTGTCTCTGTCTCTTTCCTCACACACGCATACGGCGACAAGGGGAAAGCACTCCACAAGGTATTCAGTGAAAATGCTGCCAGTTGTCACATCCTTCAGTGACAGATTTAAAATGAATGTTATTTTGCAAAAAAAAAAAGGCCCACACTGCTCATCCAAAATCTGACAAGTCCTAACAGGCCTCATTTTCCAGAGACAAAAATAGCTATTTTCAAAATTCACAGCAGGGCCGTCGCCTACACACACTGCACCGAGAGAAACCTGTGGGGAGAAATGTAAAATGCATTGTGTAAATGTAAATGCGCCACATGTTAAAAATGCTTTTAAAGCCATTTACCCTCTTTCTTCCTGGCCAGCCCCCATCCGTGGCACACACGGGCTCACGCTCTCTCTCACACATGCCACAGAAAGGTCAGCCGTAGAAGGAAGCGGAAGTGGAGGACCGGCAAGTCGCGCTCAGAGAGGACTGGCCTCGGATGATCTCCTCAGTTAACTTCCCAGGGAAGGAGGGTGGTATGGTGTCCCCTCCTTGCTGGCAGGACCGAGCAATGATGGAGACTCACTCGGCAGCCAGGGAAGCAGTGGGTGCCTGTTTGGTGCAAACACATCATCGGAGTGTGTTGAGTAAGGAACTGCTCTGGGAACAAACAAAAGAGACGTCTGCGGTTTGCAGCCCAGCAAGGTGTTACTACAGACCGATCCCTCCTTACATCCCCGTCGCCAAGCTGCACTGCATTTACCACCAGCTCCTTGTGGATTCTCTTGTGGGGAACCCATGCACACCCTCAAACAGACCGTGCAGAGCAAGTGTCCGAGAGACCCGGTCCTCTGTTCCAGAGTTGGCATCAAAATGGCAGCAAGGCCATCAGGCAAGCTGCTCTGCTGTGTCGCTGTCCCTGCAAAGGTGGGGGTGGGGGGTGGCTATCTGGCAGAGGACACCCCTGGGAGCTGAGAATCAGGGAGCTGCCTTCTTTCGAACCCATTGTGGTTGGGGGCGGGGGGTGTAAGTGAATCCACACATATGTGTCCACGTGTGTGGTACATGCATGCGTCTGTACGATAGATGAGTGTAACCTGGGGTTGCTTTATATTGAAACAGCTAACGCCCCACAAGTTCTCAGTGCAAACGTGTCTCCAATACACTGCAGGGCCAGGCTGATCCAGGCCCATATACCGTCTGTTTGCCTTTGTGTCCATTAGAGATAGTATTCTCTTGCTGTCCCAGGCTCTGCCTGGTCTCTGAGCCAGGGACCTTCGACATAAAAATAAGTCGCCTCGCCTTCTCCGCACTACCACCTGCCGTAGAGTCTTCAGGGGGAAAAAGCTGTGGCCGGGGCTGAGTGAGGACTGACAGGCTGTTTTCCCAGAGCAGGGGCACATGATGTGGCACACTCACTAGGGTTCCATCGGGTGACAGCACATTTTATAGTGACAGACAACCTGAGAGCAGCCTTCAGCAGGCCAGCCGTCCTCATATGAACCACACGAGAACATCCCCATGCACCTTCAAGTACCGTGGGTTTGATCTGCGTTTAAAGCTTTGTTCCCAGGATGGTGCGTTTGAACTGGTCCCTGAGTTGATCGCTTAAGACAAGTTTCATTCTTTTGCACTGGAACGGGCTGGACAGCTCGACAACCTGCGACAGCTGTAACGTCCACTAAACAGGATTGTAGGACCCCCGTCACTCTCCCTCGGCCACCCTAACCTGGACACCTGCTCCCTACAGGTTGCTCAATTTGGGGGAGACCGGAGGGAAAGACATCTGGAGGCTTTTGTGCATGGTTGGCCCCGTGCATGTGTCCAATGGTGCAAGGGAAAATGAGAAGGCGCTGCTGTCTCTGTGACCATCTGCCTCTCTCCCTCCCATTGTCCTGGCCATTTGGAACACCCACCTTGAGCAGCTGCATCCGGAGCTCTGCGGCAGCCCCATCAGATGCGGTTTGACATCAGCCTGGTGTTCAGCTTCCGGAAAAAGGAGCGCAGCTTGCAGATCTTGCACTTCTTCTTCTTGTTTTTATTTCTCAGCGGCCCGCCACCTCCCTCCCAATTCTCCGCTTCCTCCTCGCTGGCCCACGGCCCCCAGGCACCACCGTTGAAGTCCGGGTGGGCCCGGGGGTTCTCGGCCGGGTACCTAACCGGGATTGCAGTCCGGTTGTAATGGACCAGCCTCTTCAAGAGAGCCCTGACCACGTCCGGGCGCTGGTCCGACAGGTCGTCGCGCTCGTAGGGGTCGGCCGTGATGTTGAAGAGCCAGACGGATTTGCGCACGCTGTCCGTCAGCCGCTCCAGGTTCCACCAACTCCCTGGGAAGTTGGTCAGCATCTGAGGTGGGATCCAGTCACTGTAGCCGGGGTCACCAGTCAGCAGTTTCCAATCCCTCACCCGTATGGAGGCCTGCACAGCTGTGTTCCATATGCCAAAGCCACCCGCCAGGGAGCCGTGCTTGGCGTGGTTGTAGAGGGGGTCGATATTGTGTAGGATTTCGGTGCGCGGGGACTCCTTGCCCTCACTGATGGCTGGCCACACGTTGTACCCATCCAGGCCCTCGGCTTCAGACACGTTGCCCCCAGCCAGGGTCACCAGCGTAGGGTACCAGTCTGTGATGTGGACCAGTGCCCAGCTGGTCCTGCGCTTGCGTTTGATCAGGGGGCTGTGGACAAAGCCAATGCCGCGGACCCCGCCTTCCCAGTAGGTCCCTTTGCGGCCTCGCAGAGGCCAGTTGCTTCCCCCGGAAAACGTCTGCCCGCCGTTGTCCGTGGAGAACACGATCACGCTGTTGTCATAGTAACCGTACTTCTTGAGTGCCCAGGTGATGTTCCTCACGGCCTCATCCATACACGTCACCATCGCGGCGTATTTGCGCCGAGCCACGTTGCCCATGGAGCGGTAGCGGTAGATGTACTCTTTGGGGGACTGCAGGGGCGTGTGCACGGCTTGGAACGCCACATAGATAAAGATGGGCTCCTTGGGGTTATGGGTGGCTAGGATCTTGCTCACTCGCTGAGCATAGAGGAAGGTGGAGTACTTCCCACTCTGGTCCCATGCTACGTTCTCCCCTTCGTGCAGGTCGTAGCCGCAGACGCCGGGTCCGTCGCAGTTGTCGTAGGTGTAGTAATCCACGTTGCCCGTCAGGGAGCCCAGAAAGGTGTCGAAGCCTCGCCGGGTGGGCAGGCATTCCTTTTTGTAGAAGCCAAGGTGCCACTTGCCCACCATGTGCGTCGAGTAGCCGGCTTCCTGCAGCTTTTGGGGCAGCGTGACCTGATCCAGGGGCAGGCAGTTGGGCTGCCGGGGTCGGATGATGGAGTGCTGAAGGCCCGTGTGGATCTGGTACCTGCAAGGGGAATGAAGAAAAACAAAAAGAGAAATTAGTTCTGATCCAGAAAAGCTCTGAGCCTCCATTCCTCAGTGGAGCCTGCCCGTGTGCCTGGGAGAGGAAACACCTTGCACTAGGTTTGACATGGCGGACCCCTATTTGACAGCTGTCCCAACCACACACTCCTAACCAAGTTGCTTTATCCAAAGCCATTGCATCCACTATCATTTGGGAAGCAGGAAGACCCTTATGCATCCTACAGGAACAAACTGTGTGCAAAATCAGTTCAGCAAATGCCCCTCAAGTCAGCAGGGCAGGGTGGTCATTGGTCTGCTCTCCTGTAAAAAGCTAGATTGTGCAACCCTTACTTGTGTTGCATGAGTCATCCCGTTGAGGACAGTGGGCTACTCTAGTGAGTAAGGGCTCAACAAGATGAGTAAGGCTTGCACAATCTAGCAGTTTGCTGTGTGTCCATAGGGTGACTAAGTCTGTCCTGGGAATATTAGCTTCCTTCCTCCCATTCCCAAATTCAGGTGGTTTCTCTCTTCTAGTGGCACTCAGGTGGCATCTGTTCTATCCAGATCCTTGGCACCAAGCGACTGAGATGAGGCAGGCTTCATACAATGAACACTGATCTCCAAGCGCTGTCATAGTTTTCCTATGGACATGCAGCATATCCTAGAGACACGCAGCCATTCGCCACCACCACAAGATGCATCTACAGTCAGTACAGAGACTCAGTCTGCACCCTACAGGAGAAGACTATGGACTTAGAGGTGGTTGTACATACCTCCCTCACAATGGCATTGTGAGAACCCATCACTTAATGGTTCTAAAACCAAGCAAGTAGGAAAAGCACTAAAAACATGTCAAGTATTGTTATTACTACTATGAGAGGAAAGCCTCCTATGGCCCCATGATCAAAGCAAACACCACAAGGATGATGCCACTGTATGACCCCATGAGTCGGTGTAAAGGGAAGAAAGGATTATATAATGCACAGCCACAGGGACTATCACATTAACACCATGGCCGTGCAGATACCAGCTCTTTCTTTCCCAGGTGTTCACAAAGGTTGCAGCTGTCTCCCTCCGCTTTGGGGGTCTGATGGAGGAGCCGGAGGTTCTCCCTTTTCAGGTGGTTATTAATGTGTGTTATGTATCAGTTTCCAAGGGCTCTGCAGACATGGGCGTGCACCCTTTGAGCCGCCTTACAGATGGGAAGCCTGCGACACAGACACAGGCTACGACTGTCAAAAACAGACAGTGATTCTGGTTGCCTACCTGAAGGCGTCTTTAAAATTTTTGGCCTAAGTGACTTGCCCAGCATTCATACAGCAAGTCAGGAATAGATCCCCACGCTTCCTGACTCCCCGCCTGATGCCTGGTCTCCTAGAGCAGTGGTTCTCAACCAGGGGTCCGGGGCCCCTGGGGAGCCGCGAGCAGGTTTCAGGGGGTCCGCCAAGCAGGGTCAGCGTTAGACTCGCTGAGGCTCAGGGTCCCTGAGCCCGGCCACCCGGGGCTGAAGCCGAAGCCTGAGCAAATTAGCTTTGCAGAGGCCCCTGTGTCATGGGGCCCCAAGCAATTGCGCTGCTTGCTATCCCCTAATGCTGGCCCAGGCTTCCTTTTATATGCAGAAAACCAGTTGTTGTGGCACAGGTGGGCCATGGAGTTTTTATTGCATGGTGTGTGTGGGGGGGGGCGGTCTCAGAAAGAAAAAGGTTGAGAACCCCTGGCCTAGATCATGCGATATCTCTTTAAGTACTTATCTGGACCCACAGTCCCATAGTGTCTGAACACCTCACAGCCTTTATTATCTATCCTCACACGCCCCTGTGGGGCAGGGCAGGGCTTTTATCCCCATTGTACAGGTGGGAAACGGAGACACAGAGACTAAATGACTTGCCCGGGGTCACACAAGTCCACGGCGGAGCAGGGATATGAATCCCTCTCTCCCAGGTTCTAGGCTAGCACCCGAACCACTGAACCACCAGGGCTAACCGGCCACATTTAGCCCTGGCATAATATCATTTGAGTTTAATGGGAGTTGTCTGCTTACACAGGGCTCAGTTTGGTTCGAGATCCCTGCCCCATGGAGTCTACAGTGTAAAGTTTCAAGCAATTTATTACACAATACACCAAACAATTCTTTTCCAAGGGATTCTTCCTAAGAGAGCCTCACAGTTGGGTATTTTCCATAGGGCTACTTGGGTATTTTCCATAGGGCTATCCCATAAACACCTATTGTTTCGCCAGCTGGGGTTAACTGGTCAGAAGAGAAGGGAAGAAACGGTTAAGTTTCCCAGGACAGTGACAGGTGCAGTTGTTATCTTACCTGCCCGTTATAAGTTGGCTCCTGGATGGGGTACAGATGGGCTGGATGTAATAATTCTCCAGTTTAACTCCTTCTGCTGCTAGCCTGTCTAGCATTGGTGTCTGTATGTCTGAGTCATGGTACCCAATATCATGATACCCCTGGTCATCAGTCAGAATGAAGATGATGTGAGGTGGCTTGGAAAAGGCAGGAGGGAGCGATTTCTCCATTGGGTCCATGGAAACATCCGTTACCAAGCTGGGTTTCATCCAATCCCAGGACAAGTAGCCAAAACTAAGCAGGCTGACTAGCGAGAAACCTGTGAGAGCATAAACAGCCATGCTGGACCAAGCATTCAGACCTCTAAGGGAGGCTATTGTCCAAGCATCTTCCACTGAGAAAGAGGAATAGGAGATCTCTTCCTCCTCCAAAAAAAAATCACAATCTACCCTCCCACCCTAGGGTTTGTTCTTTCAAATTCCTTTGGCAAGTTTTCTAGAAACAACTCTCTCTCTCTCTTTAAAAAAAAATAAATAAAAGCAATGAAATCCACCCGCGCTGTAGCGCTGTTTTCAGTAAAAAGAAAATAATCTTCACGCTGATACAGTCAAAGACACATGCACCATAAAGTTAATTTCCTCTGTGATGTTATTAAGTTTCCAAAAGTGCTGCAATGTCTCGTTTTTAATACAACCACCCAAAAACCCGGCTAGAGACCAAGCTGGATTCTTGTCCCATTCAGCTGTTTGAACGCCGGGCTAGCCAAATGGCTCACTGAGCCCTGCCTCAGCAGAAGATGTTCTTTTTATGTAAACTCCAGTGGAAGATGGAGCCAAAGTTCAAGTCCACAGCTGCTGAGTCCTCTTCCTCACCCCACGGTGATGAGCCAGGTTCTCCCTTCTTCACAGTTTGCACGGAAAAGATTTCTTGGCAAGACCAGATCACCATTATTCTCCTTTCTTCCTCCCTTTGTTTTCTTTTGTTTTTCCTTTCCGCTTCTTCCAAATTAGCTCCCTCAAGAATCCCTGAAGTTTTTCAAAACTGGACAAAGAGCTCTGGAAGCTCCCTGCTTAGCTTTGCTCAGACTGCCAACCAAGTGATGAGAGCAGAGCCAGAGGGGAAAAGAGAAAGTTCCCTCCTGAACAGACTGGAGGAGAAGGCAGAAAGTTGTAACATCTGCCCAGGAGACAGGATAAGCAGCCAGGTTTAAGGGGAGCCTGAGTTTCAGCCCCTCCCAGTTCTTTCACTGACTTCAAGGAAAAAGAGCTGGGAAGCCCAGAGCCCTGCAGGGTCCTAACACTGGTTCTGTTCCCCTGCTTTATAGCTGCAGCGTGGATGTCTCCTTCTCTGATGTGTGCAGGGAACTAATTCCAGGACCAGCACGCAGAGGTTTCTTGCCCACATTCCTGGAGGCATTTTCATTTTTCTGAACCTGAAGGTTTTAAACAGGATGCTTCACCCTCCAGATGCATCAAGGCTCCTGGTAGGCCTGTCTGGCATTCCTCACCACGACCCCCAGCCAGACAAATATGTTCTTCTGGAGTCACTGCAGGGCAAATTCCTGAGACTGCAGAAAAACCTTCCCCCACCGCTTTCCCTTTCTCGCCCTTGCAGAGAAGTGTCCAGATGATATAAAGAGCTGGTGGCAGCGGTAGGCCTGGAATAGTGGTGGATAAACAGTGGAGCCCACCCTCGGTCCTACAGTAATACAAATAAATAAATAATAGTTGAAAGATCCCTTGTTAAGGGGAAATGACAATGATTAGTTAGAGAATTTGGGATAATTAATAACACAGGACTATCTAATGGTGCTCAGGACTCTTTCTACTGTAGATCTCAAAGCACTTTCCAAAGTTGAGTTCGCATTATTATTCCCATTTTACAGGTGGGGAAACTGAGGCAGGGAGCAGTTAAGTGTCTTGTCCAAGGTCGCATGGCAAGTGAGGAGCAGGATTTGTAATAGAATCAAGGTCTCTTCCAACATAGGTACTTAAATGGTCTGCATTATAGCCAGGGCCGACGAGGGGGGGGAAGCCGGTACAAATTACTGTGGCCTGGCAGCCCAGAAGCGGGCCCGGGGACCGGCTTCCCCCCCACCCCCATCAGCCCTGTTTAGCCCGTCCGTCCTTGCTGGGGGGCCCAAAAAAAAAATTTTCACCGGGGCCCGAACCTGCTCTTGGCGGCCCTGATTATAGCAGTCCCCAAGAATTAGTTTGGTGTCCTAGGTGCAATACTATATAACCCTTCAGGTAGCTGTCAATGTAGATATATAGGTGTTGCTCCCATGTAGGTGTAGGCATATAGATGTGGCTCCCCTATAGATCTGAATATAGAATAGTTCAAAGCAGTTTTAGGAATACCTGTCATTGTTTCAATAGCTACTTACGTGCCAATGGTGCTGGTGTATGTCAATGAAAAGGGCCATTTTCTTGCTACATCCTATCACCAAGTCCAGGCTGATGCCCAGTCATGCTCACCTTGCTCATATGAGTCTTCTCCTCTTGACTTTAATGAGCAGGATTTGGTGTGAAATGGGAAAACCTCACAATCAGAATATGCTGGTCTAATAAAAAACAGTTGCACGTGTTTGCGATAGCCTAGTGAGAGCCCAGGGGTCCTGGGAAAGTCAAACGTTTGTTCAAGGCACCTGGGTTGTCATTCACACAGCAGAGAGGAGGCTGCACCACAGATTTCTCAGGCTTTAAGGAGGTGGTAATTGTTTCAAATTCTCTGACACTGACAGCATCAATTATCTATATGTATGTACATGCATAATGATGAGCGATTCTGATTTCACTTACTTGAATGGAACGTCCACTTGAGTGGAACGACTCCTGATTTCATCTGGGGCAAGTTAGATCAGAATCAGGCCCCAGACATTTCCCTCTCCGCTTTCCCTATCTTTAACGGGGGATTTGGGAGTGTACTCTAACCCCCTTCGCACCTCACTAAAAGAAAAAATATGGCATGTGACAACACGGGCTGAGCAATGGGGCTCATCTCCTGCCTGTGTGGCTGGGTCTACACTACCCACCTGAATCGGCGGGTAGAAATCGACCTCTCGGGGATCGATTTATCGCGTCCCGACGGGACGCGACAATCGATCCCCGAATCAACGCTCTTACTCCACCAGCGGAGGTGGGAGTAAGCGCCGTCGACGGGAAGCCACAGAGGTCGATTTTGCCGCCGTCCCTACAGCGGGGTAAGTCGGCTGCAATACGTCGAATTCAGCTACGCTATTCGCGTAGCTGAATTTGCGTATCTTAAATCGACCCCTCCCCGTAGTGAAGATGTAGCCTGAGATCCCATTCACCAGTTTCATCCCCTAGGCCTGTGGTTCTCAACTACACGTACCCCTGAGGGTGCGCAGAGGTCTTCCAGGGGTACATCAACTCCTCTAGCTATTTGCCTAGTTTTACAAGAGGCTACAATAAAAGCACTAGTGAAATCAGTGCACACTATAATTTCATGTAGACAAACACTTACGCGTTTGTACTGCTCTTTATACTACCCACTGAAATGTCAGTACACTATGTATGTTCCAACTGATTTATTTTATAGTTATACAGTAATGATGAGAAAGGCAGCCATTTTTCAGAAATCGTGGGCCGTGATACTTTTGTATTTTTATGTTGGATTTTCGTAAGCAAGTTGTTTTTAAGCGAGGTGAAACTTGGGGGTACGCAAGACAAATCAGACTCCTGAAAGGGGGACAGTGGTCTGGAAAGGCTGAGAGCCACTGGGCTAGGTTTACAAGCAAAATGGGGCAGCTGCACTTTCGAGGGAGCCGTCGGTCTTTAGGACCGCAGGGGCAGGAGCTTCAGTTCAGCTTCTTGGACAAGTCCCCCTGTGAGGCTCTTGTAGTTCTGTTGACTCAGTCAAACAGCTGGGTGAGTTTATTCAGCACTACTCTGCTCTCTTGCCATCTCACTCTCTCCTCCAGTTGTGGGAAGCCGTGACTGGAACTGTGGCTCCCCTGGCACGTTAAAGCTTGTCTAGTTCCCCCACAGTCCCTGAGCCAGAGCTTGTAACTCTTCCCCGTGAAGATCCCAGGCGCAGCCCCAGAGAAGTGGGAAGAAAGATTCAGCAGGCTACAGAATGCTTCTCACTTAAAGGAGATTGGGGACTTGGAAGAAAATGCAACTGTTCCTATCCGATGTGGGTGCTTTTCACAGTGCCATTTCCGGATGGGAGACGGCACCGATAGACTGAGAGTAGAAGAGGAAGAGGATGTGTCCCTGGAAACTCACTGGGATTGTGGTGGCAGAAAGAATTAGAGAACCACCGGTACCCCAGGGAGTTTTCCACCTGTCTTCCCAAGTACAAAACATTTAAAGGAAGGGGTGGAAATCAACTCAGTCCCTGCCCTGGAACTCTGCACATTACCCAGGACACTATATGGTTATATCTACATATGTTGGTGCACATTAGCTGTTACCATCCATTTAGCAATTTAGTAGAGACTAAGGTGATGGGTGCTATAGAAAAACCAAAAATAGATACACAGATTAGATAAATCGATCTATCTTCGGGACAGCGGCCTTGTGTCTTTTCACACTGGCAAAGATTCATGCATGCTTAGGGAAGCAGGGTGGTGTGATGTAGTGGGTAGAAAAGGGGGCTGAAGCCAGGATTCTCGGGCTCTGTTTCTTATTCTGCCACAACTTGTTGCTTAATCACAGGCATGTCACTTAACCTCTCTGTGCCTCATTTGATCCATCCATAAAAACGGGGATTCCTGCTGAACCTCCCAGGAAGCACGTTAATGTTTGTAACACACTCTGAGATCCTCAGGCCAGAGGCAGTGAGTCATTTCCAAGTCTAATCCGGGCACTTGCTAAATAATAAATAGTAGTCGGTTTTGGTAAATGTCTCCTAGAAACACGAACATACTGGGCTTTCCCCTTCTGATTTTGTCCTTTACCATTTAAAAACAATGCTTTGTATTCCCTTTGTTTATAACAGAACTTGACATTAACAGGAGATTTTTCTTAATGTTCTTCTTTGTCTGTGCCCTGGTATCACTGATCACATCACAATTGCTCTGGGAATGGTATTTTTTAAGTTACCTGCTGTTGCACAGACACCACATATTTTTATAGGTCCTATACAAATCGTGTCTATTTTTTCTTCTTGTTTATTTTCGTTGTTGCAGAGAGACAGTTTGGGTTTTAGAAGGCTGTCATATTTAGAATCCATAAGACATGGGTTGTCAACAATGATTGGAACAATTTTAAGATTCGGCACATTTTGTGACTAAACTACTTACCAGCATCCCCCTAAACCAGATTATCATCCTCAACTGGAGAGCAAAAATACCAGCAGGCAGCAGACTTGGCAAAGTTTGATTTCTCTGTGCTGTCTCAGCAGCAGTGCCAGACCAAGTTGGAAGGGAAAGAGGAGAGGGACCGGGAGGAGGAGCAGCGAGATTAGGCTGGAGCGGTCTGGAGGATGTCAGGACTGAGGCACATGGACAAGGCTTTGGGGGTGGGGAAGGGAAGTACTAGAATAGCAAGGTCAGGATTGAGGTGGGTTGGCAGAGCTGTGGGGGGGCCAGGAATGGAATAGAAGGGAGTGAGGCAAGTCTGTGCATAACAACATCCTGCTGGATACCGAGGGTGTAAACAAGAAGAGTTGCACAACTTTAAGCAGCACAGAACGTGCCTTTAACCCCAGCGCAGGCAAAATAATGAGATACCTCTGCTCCTGGGTGCCACGTGAGCTCAATACACATGGTATCAGAGAGGGAAGGCAGTGATGGGCTGGGGCGAGAGGGCTGGTTTAGACGGGCCTCAAATAGGACTTAGAGAGATCCAGGGACATGTAGGTTTTCCAAGAGCCAAGACTCCTCCATGCAGTGTCAGGTTTAGTACAGAAAGCATGGAGCTGTACATCCAAGTCCTGGCTGTCCGGAGATCAAGGACCCAAGAGAACTTCGATCTACCGATCTATTTGGGAGGTGGCCCCCCACCACTAGAAAAGATTGGGTCCAGGAAAAGCAGGAGGGTATGTGGGTGGGGGGTATGGGCTGGCTCTGACTACCCTCTGTTGCCCCTTGTGCTTTAATTTAGCATGCTACCATAGTATGCATAATAGGGCATGCTCGGAGCCACCCCACAATGCCGTGTGCACAATCCGAGCACCAGAGCCAGCAAACAGCAGGACGACAGCGCACATAGTAAGCCAAGCAGTGAGCAGCTGAGCCCCCCAGGCAGCCACCACATGAAGTTGTAGCTGCAGAGCTTTCAAGCCCCTTCTCTGAGGGGAGCAAAGACTATTGCCATGGCTGTGGGTCATAACAGCTGTGCTAGGCCCATGAGCCACCATTGCCTGAGCCAACCTCTGGGACAGATTCCCAGAGGGCCCCTAATTATCCAGAGCTGCCGTGCGTACAGTTAGAGGAGCTTTCTCAGTGATGCACGTGGACTCCTCCAGACACTCACCAATTTTAGGCTTAGACATAATCACTGTAGATGTCAAGGTTTGAGGTGTTTCTCCAGACACATTGGGAATTACATCA